ATTTAAAATTTTCATATTTTACAAAAATTTTATGAATTTACACATTTAAAAAATGAACTTTACAAAAATTTAGTCCACCCAAAATAAATTTTGTCATATTTTCATATTTTTACAAAAAGAGCAACATTCATGATTTGAACACATTTTCCACAAGAAAATGAACTTTTTACAAAAATTTGTCCACCCCTGAAAATAAATTTTATCATATTTTCATATTTTTAAAAAAGAGCAACATTCATGATTTTGAACACATTTTCCACAAAAGAACTTTACAAAAAATTTATCCACCCCCTGAAAAATAAATTTTATCATATTTTCATATTTTTACAAAAAAGAGCAAATTCATGAATTTGAACATATTTTCACAAGAAAATGAACTTTAACAAAAAAATTAACAACCCCCTGAAAATAAATTTTATCATATTTTTATATTTTTACAAAAAAAAGCAACATTCATGCATTTGAACACATTTTCCAAGAAATGAACTTTTACAAAAAATTAGTCCACCCCCTGAAAATATTTTATCATATTTTCTATCCCAAAAAAAGAGCAACATTCTTGAATTTGGAAACACATTTTCCACAAAAAACTTTTAACAAAAAATTGAATCCAAACCCTGAAAAAATAAATTTTTCATATTTTCATATTTTTACAAAAAAGCAACTTCATTTTGAACACATTTTCCATAAAAAAATGAAATTTACCAAAAATTTAGTCCACCCCCTGAAAATAATTTTTCATATTTTCATATTTTTACAAAACAGCAAATTCTTGACTTGAAACATTTTCCACAAGAAATGAACTTTCAAAAAAATTTAGTCCACCCCCTGAAAATAAATTTTATCATATTTTCAACTTTTCAAAAAAAAAAGACAACATTCATGATTTTGAACACATTTTGACAAGAAAATGAACTTAAAAAAAAAATTTACCACTATGAAAATAAATAAATTTTACATCATTTTCAATTTTTACAAAAAGGCAACATTCATGATTGAAACACTTTTCGACAAGTAAAATGAATTTTAACAAAGATAAGTCGATTGTCCCGAAAATAAATTTTTTATATTTTCAAATTTTTGTACAAAAAGAAACGTTCATGACTTGAACAATTTTCCTCAAGAAAATGAACTTTTTACAAAAAAATTTAGCCAGCCCCTAAATAAATTTATCATATTTTCATATTTTAAAAAAAGAGCTTATTCATAATTTGAACACATTTTCCACAAGAAAATGAAATTTGCAAAAAATTTAGTCCCCCCCTGAAAATAAATTTATCATATTTTCATATTTTTCAAAAAAGCAACATGTGAATTTGAACACATTTTCCACAAAAATGAAATTTACAAAAATTTAGCCCCTCCCCGAAAATAAATTTTGTCATATTTTCATATTTTACAAATGTAACATTCATGAATTTGAACACATTTTCACAAAATGAACTTTTAAAAAATTTAACCACCCCTGAAAATAAATTTTTCATATTTTCATATTTTTACAAAAAGAGCAACATTCACGAATAACACATTTTCCAAAAAAAAATGAAATTTAAAAAAATTTAGTCCACTAATGAAAATAAATTTTGTCATACTTTTCAATCTTTACAAAGCTTAACATTCTTGAACATAACACATTTTCCACAAGAAATGAATTTTTACAAAAATTTTCATCCACTCCTGAAAACAAATTTTATCATATTTTCATTTTTAAAAAAAAGAGCAACATTCAGTGATTTTGAACACATTTCCAACAAAAATGAACTACATTAAAAAATTTAGTCCACCTGTAACAAATTCCCTCAATTTTCATATTTTTACAAAAGAGCAAATTCATGAATTTACATTTTCTCAACGAAAATGAACTTTTACAAAAAAATTTACCACCCCTGAGATAAATTTTATCTATTTTCATAGAGTTACGAAAAGAGCAACATTCAGGATTTGAAAAACACACGTTCCACAAGAAAATGAACTTTCACAAAAAAAATTTAGTCCACCCTGCATTATAAATTTTATCATTCATTTCAAATTTTTACAAAAAAGAACAAAATTTCAGAATTTGAACTTTTCCATCAAGAAAATGAACTTTACAATAAATTTAAACCACCCCTGAAAATAAATTTTATCTTATTTTCATATTTCACTTACAAAATCATGTAGCCAAATTCCTTTGTGACTTTAACACCTTTTCCAAAGAAAATTGAACTTTACAAAAAAGATTCTAGTCCACCACCCTCACAATAAATTTTATCAATATTTTCATATTTCTACTCTAAGCAGCACCATTCATGATTTGAACACATTTCCACGAATGAAAATGAATTTTACAATAAAAAAAAGTTTATGTCCACTCTGAAATTAATTTTCTTCATATTTTCATATTTTACAAAAATTTGAAAGCAACATTTATGATTTGAACACATTTTCCACAAAAAATGAACTTTACAAAAAAATTTTTCAACCCCCTGAAAATAATTCAGTTTTCATTTTCTTATTTTTACTAAACAGAACAATATTCATGAATTTGAACACATTTTCCACAAATGAATCTTTTGACAAAAATTTAATCATCTCCTTAAAATGAAATTTTTCATATTTTCATATTTTTACAAAAAGTTAACAACATTCATGCAACATTAAACATGTATTTTCCTCAAAAAAATGAATATTTACAAAAATTTTCACCCCCTGAAAATAAATTTTGTATATTTTCTTGATTCTTTACAAAAGGAAGCAACATTCATGATTTGAATAACTTTTCCACTAAGAAAAGTGTAAGAGATTACAAAAATGTTAGTCATCTCCCTAAAATGAAATTTTATCATATTTTCATATTTATTCAAAAGTTGTAACATTCATGATTTATCGAAAGACATTTCCACATTGATGTTGAACTTTGACAAAAAATTTATCCACCCCTGAAAATGAATTTTATCATATTTTAATTTTTTAAAAAAAAGCAAATTCTATGATTTGAGAACACATTTTCCACAACAAATGAACTTTTACATATAAAAATTAGTCCACCCCCTTGAAAATATTTTATCATAGTTGTTCTATAGTTTTAAAAAAGAGCAAATTCAATGATTTTAACATTACTTTCCACAAGAAAAGAACTTGTTTAAAACAAAATTAGTCAACCCCCTGTAAAAAAACATTTTTATCATATTTTCATATTTTTACAAGAAAGTAAAACATTCATGACTTGAACAGAATTTTTGCAAGAAAATGAATTTATACAAAAAATTCAGTCCACCCCCTAAGAAAAGTAAATTTTGTCATATTTTAAGAATTTCACAAATACAATACATTCATAGAATTTGAACACATTTTTGACAAGAAATGAATTTAACAATAAAATAAGTCCACCCCCTGAAAATGAATTTTGTTCATAGGTTCATATTTTTACAAAAAGACACAATTCATGATTTAATTAGCATTTTCCACAAGACAAATCAACTTTACAAAAAATTTGTCCACCCTGAAATAAACTTTTATGATATTTTCATATTTTTAAAATAAGACTTTGGTCATGAAATTTGAACACATTTTCCACATGAAAATGAACTTTTCAAAAAAATATAGTCCACCCCTGAAAATAAATTTTCATATTTTCATATTTTACAAAGAGTTCATTCATGAATTTGCACATTTCCACAAGAAATGAACTTTTATAAAAAATTGAGTCCACCTGAAAATAAATTTTGATTATATTTTCTATTATTTTTAACAAAAGATTACATTCATGAATTTGAACATATTTCAAAAAAAATGAACTTTTGCAAAAATTTTAATTCCACCCTCCTTGAAAATTAAATTTTTAATAATTTCAATTTACAAAACAACAAATATTCATGAATTTGAAACACATTTTCCAAAGAATCGTAGAACTTTAGGAAAAAAATTTAACTCCATCCCTGAAAAATAAATTTTGTCATACTTTTCATATTTTTAAAAAGATTGCAGAGAACTTCGAACCATCTTCGTAAAATTTTCCAATAAGGTCGAGATAGATAGTTCACTATACCACGACGAAAAATTGCATATGATTTACAAACTCTTGGCGTCACGTTCATTTGCTATAATAAAATTTACAATAAATATTTTTTATTATTGATTGACGAAAAAGATATCTAGAAATGACATGAATGAAAGGCAAAAGTAAATCAAACATGTGACTATTTTGACCAAAAATTTGATGTCCACTGGAAATGAATTTTATGATATTTTCATATTTTCAAAAGGCAACTATTCTGAATTTGAACCATTGTTCCACTCAGAAGAAGAACTTTTACTAAAAATTTCAAAGTTCATGTATGAGGACAATATTTCTTCGCGTATTCATATTTTTAGGAGTTTGCAACATCAAAGAGCAACATCTATCAATTTCAACATTTTCCACTCAGAAATATGAACTTTGCAAATAAAAATTCTAGTCCAACCCCCTGAAATAAACTTTATCAAATTTTCATATTTTACAAACAGAGCAACATTTATGAATTTGAACATTTTCACAAGTGAAATGACTTCTTTTACAAAAAAATTTAGTCCAATCTCCTGAAGAATAAATTTTAAATGTTTTCATATTTTTAAAAAAGAACAACATTTATTAATTTGTACACATTTATACCACAAGAAAAGAACTTTTACAAAAATTTAGTCCACTCCCTGAAAATAACATTTTATCACATTTTCATATATTTACATAGAATACAGTCATGAATTTGAATCATTTTCACAAGAAAATGAATTTAACAAAAAAAATTTATTGTAAACCTATGTAAAATATAAATTACGCTATGTTTATGGGTTTTTCATTTATATGTAGAATGAACAAAGTGAAGATATTGCTGAAAATTATGACAAGCACCAAGTTAACCACCAAAAACAACTTTACAAAAAATATTGTTTCTCATGAAAAGTCATTGGAAGTGGTTATATGTAGGACTGCTTTCACTAGAAATAACAAATTTTGAATTTGAAAAGGCATGCATTATTTAAACACTTATTAAAAGTCTGTACACATTTTAAATTAAATAATGGTCTTTATTTGTAGGACTCTGAAGATATCTTTACCAAGCAATCTATCTCTATTATTACAGAGGAACCCAAACAACCATGTCAACATAGTCAAGTAGTTCTCACATATACAGTTATACTTTATACTGTTTACCACTAGTCATGTTTTAATGTGTTATAAATTGACAATATGCTTGTTGATTGCTTATGCATGAAACACTGTGTAGCAAAACTTTATTAACATCTGGTAGAAATGTGCTCAACAAACATAAAAATATATTACAATAGATATTTTTGAAACAGTGAACATTAATAATTACTGTGTACTTTCTCTTTCAGAGTCATTTGTCACCCACTGGCCACTATACTGGGCTATTGTTACAGTTTGACTTTGCATCAAATGTATCACATCAGCAATCCTTTGTTGTTCATGATTATAATGCAAACAAAAGAACAATTATGGTGATGTCAAATTTTATTTCCATAATTTCAATGTTGGGTATACCCAACTAAATGATATTACTCAATACGCTTTTTGGTGCTATAATCTGCATGTATTTTTTTCAGCATAATTCATTTGTATTTGTACATCGATATCCCCACCTATTGCTTGATGGCTATGGTTGGATATTGTGCTGCTCATGTGATGCAAATAGAAAGCAATTTGTTGAAGCCCTACCTAATAATATACAATTAGATCCTCAAAAAGGTATGTAAAATAGATGTTACTGAAATGAAATGATTAAAACAGGCCAAACAACATTCTTCTACTTGTCAGATATACCATATCCTAGTTGCATACACATATTAGCAATGGAAAAATATCTGGTTGTGTATGATAGAAAGTTTGGTTTTGAAGCCAAAGATTTTATTGAAAAAAGTAAGTGTTGTGTGTTACTCTTTCAGGATATAAGGTGTCTGAACAGCTTCACCAAATTTTGACTTACACTTACATACTATTTGTTTCAAGACCCTTGTCAAAGATGTGAGAACTTGTTACATATTAATCTGACATTGCATGTAGTGAATGTCTCAAATTTGTATTTGGCTTATTTTTTCAATGTAAAGTTCTTCATGTGGTATGGGAGAAAATGTCTTCATCCTTAAATATCAGTTTATTGGACATTTCAAACCCTTGTGAAGTCATCCTTCTGTGTTTTACAAGACCCTTGTTCGACATTGTTCTTATTACATGTGGATGTTAACCAGCACAGCTTTACAAGCAAAAATATTGTTAAAACTTGTGAATGATTATTTACACAATATATTTATCTCATAATTTCTTTTAAGAATGCAGAATCCACATCCATGATGCAGTCTGTTTTCAGTGATCATTCCTACCATGAGATGCAACCTGAAGAGTATATTTTGTTATGTGAAAATAACTTTTTGTACAAATACACGTATTGTTTCTCAACCTTCTAATACCCCACAATTTGTTACCATACATCCTGTGCCTAGGGAGCTTCTATAAAGCTATTAGGGTGATAACCAACAGGGCAAATTGAATTTATTTATGACTATTGAGGTATAAACATTCATACTCACATACATACATAGCCATATTTACAGTACATACATTAAGTAGTATAAACTAAATGTATGACAAAAATAGTAAAGTCATATTCACCATTTGCTTTACGTGCCTGATATATATATATTAAGCACTTTCTAAGGATTTTGTGAAGTCATAATTAATCATAATTATTAATCATACACATACACACATACATACACACACATACATACACACACATAATACAACCTTAAGATAAATGATTTTACATATTTTAGGACTTGTTTAGTGCAGTGTGCAGGGAGGTTCAGTGGATTGCTGTAAAACCAGTGAATAGTCCATGGGGGGTTTGTACTTTTGTGTATTCAAAGTAATGCCCACCCGAGTTAAAATGTTGCAGCTGTTCGTCATATCATTGCATTCATGTGACAACCCTTGCAAATCATTGACGAGGATGAAATGGATTCTCCATTGGCACTTTTTAAGTTTTCCTTTGGAATTACACCAGATGCGAGACTATTTTGAATTGGCTACACTTAGAAAAGGTTTCTTTATTTGAAACAGGTATGCAAGATAATCTGCAATGGTGAACATCCTTTTAGCTTTACATATACTATTTCCTTTATCGGTATGGTATTTAGCACTTTCTAGCATTTTGTAAATATTACAATTTAATTATTTTAGGCAATGAGAATGATGCAAGCGATTTTACTGATCTTCCTGAAAAAAATGGTCATAAAATTTTGGCGCCATCTGAAAGTGGTATTTGTTCTTGTGGTGCAGAGTGGGATAAACGTTCTATTCAAGATGAATGGTTGTACGTAGACTTGTGTTCAGTTGCGTACTTTTGTTCAATCCATGATGTGAAGGGTAAGTTCTGATTTGTTATAGGTTAGGCTTCACTTCATAATTATTTGACTTAAATAAATTATTTAGTGTATTGTAGACCTTGCTCCTCTTGTGCTACGAAAAAGCATTATGATGGCATTGAAAACAGGATTGTATGGTTTGGATCATATGCAATATCTCATGCCGTTCTAAAGATTACATTCGGCTTTTCATAACGTCGAGGTACTTTTGATCTACCAAGAAGATTACATTGGGCTTTTCATAACGTCAGTACTTTTGATCTACACAGAAAGATCTCGTGGTAACATGTTAGGTATGGCCAGTGGTTGGTCATCGTCATTGACCTTTTGACACCAGTTCAGAATACGTTAAATGTCCTGAAGACGTTGAGGAGGTTGCTAGTAAAGCGTCGCCTAAACCAGAAGTTAGTTTTCATGGTATGCTAACGGATTACGCAAACGTTGTTAAGAAGAAGCTCACATCAAATGGTTATGGTCAAACGTAGTATGTCTTCTATAACCTCTATTCTTGTTTCCACTTCATCATCTATCCATATTGTTCTTTTTTAGTTCTCAGCTCAACACGACCCTTGTTTGAAGTTCCTAAAACCTTGATCTACCAAGAAAGATCTCTCGTGGTAACATGTTAGGTATGGCTAGTGGTTGGTCGTCGTCATTGAGCCTTTTGACACCAGTTCAGTATACGTTAAATGTCCTGAAGACGTTGAGGAGGTTGCTAGTAAATCTTCCTTAAACCAGAAGTTAGTTTTCATGGTATGCTAACGGATTATAAACGTTGTTAGGAAGAAGCTCACATCAAATGGTTATGGTCTCGTTCCATCGTCGTCTGAGGATGTTCCATGTTTATCCTGTATCTTTCACCAATGTTACAAATACTTAGTTTTTTTATGTTTTTTGAAATTGTCGTTTTTATGACTATTATTTTAGAGCATAGACATTGAAGAATCTTGTGGTAGTACAGGTATTTTCAACATTTTTTTGTTGAAAATTCTCTAGTTTCAATTCTTCGAAATTTCTCATCTTAATTTTCATCTTTACTTTAGAATCCTTTCGATACGAGAAATCGTCAGGATTTGAGGTACTATACGATATATTGAATTTAAGTTTTATAGCGTTAATAACTCTCATCTGTCCATCGTAACTTTGCTATAATTCTATGGATAAATTATGTTTTATATATAACAGATTATTGATGATCCTACTTCACCTGAAGGTGTTGCAAGAACGACGTATGAAGTTACTGTCGTTAATTAACAATATAGCCCTTGATAAAGGGTTGGATGGTCAAAATTATAAATGTCATGGTTCTTCCAGACCAATTGGAATGATATGATCAATGAATTCTCGACTTGTTATTTTAATAACTCAAATATATTTATTTTCAAATTTCTTAGCAATAAATGTTATCTTTGTAGAAACTATTATAACAGTACATAATCCCTTTTTTCCGTGAAGCCCATGGATGCGTTCGTTCATGATGAAAGAGTCATATTGTATGGGAGGCTCGTTCATCACGAGGAGTTATAGAAAGTTACGTT